AGCCGTGGAAGTGTTCAAGGCCGGTTTGTATGGGGCTTTGGGCAACATGGTCTAGTGGAGGGTGTCCCTGCCCATGGCAGGGGGGTTGGAACTAGATGGGCTTTGAGGTCCCTGCCAACCCAAACCATTCTATAATTCTTATGAAAGCAGAAGAAAAATCCTGTCCTACAAACAACTCATTTCTTTCTCGAGGCATTTCTTTTCTGTTAATCTCCTCTTGCCCTACTATATAAGGTAGCATTGAAGAAAATACTCCTGTCACTGAAGTTTTTATTGGTACATGTGGTAGTATAGAAAAGGCCTAACATGAATATGTGGTGGGAGACCCTGGTATGCATGGTGTGGGGGATGAACAGCATGCTGGGAACAGGCAGGGTAGCCAGAGGATTACACCCAATGCAGCTGTAGATGCCACATCTTTCAAAGCAGCTGTAAAACAAATAAAGATCTGTATGTTTTTCTAAGACTATTCAATGATATTATTTATGTATTTCAATACTATGGAGTCAGCAGCAGTAATAAGTACATTTGTCCTGTCAGCAAATATTAAATCAGGGTGGTTTTTTTTCTCTCTAAAGAGAGAAAAAGCTTTCCACCTGTTTGACATTTCCTTTCCACCTGTTTGACATTTCCTTTCCACATTTTTATATCACTGCATGTGAGAGCTTCTCCTGCAGAGAGCCAGAACAAGCATGTCAGATCTTTGGTACAATCTCAAAGTAGGGTTTCAACAGGAGCAAACTGATGCTTGAACCTTTGCCAGCCTTTTGTAGAGGGGTGACTGGCCCCTTGTCTCATAGTAAATAAATTATAGATATAAGTGAATAACTGAATGAATAATTTAATGGTATGAATCCTCCTCTTTTCCTGTGGGTTCCTAAATTTTACTTAGCATGAAGGTGTTGAGGCATGTGGCAGGGATTTCTGTCCAAGCCTGGCTTACTGGAGTTCGTTTGGGTAAAGGGCCCCACAGTGCCACTCCTGCCAGCTGATGGGTACCCCGATCTGCACACGCAAACTTAAAATTCTGGTTTAGACAGCTGCTTGAGCAAAGGTCTCTGTTAATAATGCTGCTGATCACTGTAGCAGAGGGTGTACACTGGAAAGGAAACAAAAATCTCCAAAACATTTTAGTACATAACTAAGGGTGATTTATTTTTCCCTAACAGCACCATTTAAACTAGTATTTCCTGAGTTATCATGAAGATCAATAGAAACAAGCCACTAACACCAACCCACAGCAAGCAAGTCAGCCTCAAAGTGAGGAATAAGACTATTCTGCTTTTTTATTTCTCTATAATACTCCCACTGAGTTCAGTGGTGCAGTTCTCATTGAGAACAAGTCCCAGTGACCGAACCATTGCTTTAGATAAGTATCATTCCTGTTGCCAAAAGAAAGCCTTTACTCAGCATACCTCATTCTAAACTGCCTGGTTCCTCTGAAAATCCTGCATTCTCACAGGTGTAATAGCTGTGGAAAATGAATCAGATATTGAAGACCTCTCATGGCAGAGTTACTGCCAAATGGTGGGATAGGGAGGACACTTACTGACTGGGCTGGTGCTGGTTTGGCATATTGATTTGACCTGCTGTGTCCCCATGACTTCCTTGGGCCTGAAAGCAGTAAAGCTGCGTTAATGTGGTGCTGCTCCCAGGTTGTTTGCTTTTACATCTTGGTGGGGCTCATGACCTTAGGTGCAGGCTGGAAATGAATCGGATATTAAAGACCTCTCATGGCAGATTACTGTCAAATGGTGGGATAGGGAGGACACTTACTGACTGGGCTGGTGCTGGTTTGACATATTGATTTGACCTGCTGTGTCCCCATGACTTCCTTGGGCCTGAAAGCAGTAAAGCTGCATTAATGTGGTGCTGCTCCCAGGTTGTTTGCTTTTACATCTTGGTGGGGCTCATGACCTTAGGTGCAGGCTGGGGCTGCAGCAGCAACACTGCTACTAACTCAATACTAGCAAGTCTGAATCTAGCTCCTCACTGTGTAGGCACACAACATAGATGCACCCCAGATTGAACTTGTAAAAATCAGCCATAGAAATAGAATTTAACACACCATCTTTTTCTTCATTAGGTAAAATTCTGGAAATGCTTAATTGCTTTTAATTACTGTCTGGTTTGCAGAGTTTTTTTTGCCTGCAAGGACATGGGAGAGAAGATCTTCCCCGTACAAAGCCTAGACTGGGCTTTGAGATGGGGGTTGAGTCCTGGTTTGTGCCTGTTTGTCCTTGTGTCCATTCCCAGTGGGTGAAACTGAGCCAAAGCCTCCCTGCTACTCATGGAGAGCACAAGGCAAAGCCCAGGGAAGCCTGTGACACATTCCTACACCACAGAAGAAGCTAAAGATCAATAGGAATGAAAACAAGAAGTAGAAACAGAATTCAGTTTTTCACAAAGCCATCACAGCTAGGTAGCCAGGAGATAGCAGAGATGACAAGTTTCAGCTTACTACAGTACTTGTAACTTCAAAAACAAATCAGGCAGCTGAAGTAGAGG